ATAAATGTGTCATGGAGCCAGCGCAGCTCAGCCCCGAGTCCGGGCTACTTCCCTCTGACATCTGCCCTTTTTGTGTGAGAGGATGTGGCTCTGCAGCACTGTGGATTCACTGCTGGCGCAGAGGTACACAGCCGTCTGGTTGGTGCCAGCTGACTCCATGGTCAGGGAGAAGGCCTCCTTCTTCTCCCTGGAGACACTGTATCCTTCGGGGACGTCATCTCCTTTCTCAGTACTGCCAGTGCCATATGAGAAATAGAGTTGCTGCAGCCCCAGAGCTGGGTCTTGCCGATACCAGGTCATTCTTTCATGGTCCATATCCTGTAAACATTCTATGAAAACTTTTTCTCCCTTTCTTTTAACCAGGTATCTTGGGGTTTGGGTTACTTCCGCATCTGTGAGCCCTGTGGGAGAAGGATAGATAAGGTGGAAAAAGAGGCCACAAGGAGCCTGATGAAGGAAAAGTCTCATATTCAGAGTCTAGAAAAATAGGACAGGGGTTTGCCTCCTACTGCCCGGACTTACCTGCCCCCAGGAAGCAAAAGGCCACACCACAGAGGAGTCTGATTCCCATGGCAGGTTCAAGGTGAGAGGGGGTCTTCTGTCAGGCGAGGCTATAGGTTGATTGTCTGTGATGTCACTGCCCCTGCCCAGGCTCATGATCCCACAGCCATCCTCTAGATTCTAGAGAGTTAAGAGGTTCTAGAGTGAAAGCCATCCCTTCTCCTCATGGGAGTGTCATTGTGTGCGTAGAAGAAAGCTAACACAGTAGCATGCGATGGCTACCTTTAGAAGGACCTGCTGGGAAGGCAGGCTCTCAGCTTGCATTGGGAGCTAGTTCATGAGTATTCCCATCATTCAGTAACTGGTACGTGTCGGTCATCTTGCCTAGATTGCTTACACAACAGTGTAGTTTCTGAAGAATACTTGCTTTGTTTCTTTGAGTCTGGAATTTTGGTATCGCTGTGCAGAGGGTGTTCATGTGACCAGCTGTGTTAGTTTCCTGGGACTGCTTTAAGAGAGTACCACAAACTGGGTGACTGAAGCAACATAAATCTATTTTTTCACTGTTCTGGAAGCTACAAGTCCAAATCAAGGTGTTGGTAAGGTCAGTTTCTTTGGAGACCTGTCTCCCTGTCTTGTATATAGCTGTCTTCTCCCTGTGTCTTCACACAGTCTCCCATCTGCATGTGACTGTGTCCTAATTTCCTCTTCTTATAAGGACACCAGTCAGATTAGGAAGGGTCCACCTTGGTGACCTCATTTAACATTAATCACCTCTTTAAAGACCTTATCTGCAAATACATTCACGTTCTGAGGCACTGTGGGGCTAGGACCTTAACATGTGAATTTTGAGGGGACACAATTCAGTCTGTAACATCAGCCACCAAAACTATCTGGGCTGCTGAGTCCCTGGTGGGCCTCCCTGGGCAGCACCATTGCATACAGGTTGCTGCATTTTCATTGCTGGCCGAAGTATAAGGCCACTCCACGGGTCCCTTCCCAACTCTGCCTGTGTCTTTTCCCCTTATGA